TACTCCGATTCGTCTTCGGAGGCATGATATATTTATTTCCGGTAAAAGCACTGAATGTCACTCCAAGGTTGTAGATTCGATTTGCTAATATCATTCTCCGAGGATGGCTATGAAACCTGAGATTTCATAAACACTTCCACAAATGTTCTACAAGTGTGTAGCAGCTGTCAGACATTTGATCGGGGTTGCACGCGTAGTGTTTTTTAAGAGCCTGATGCGGGTACCGTACAATACTATGATAGGATAGTACGTGCAATGTTTATAGCGAGGTTGTTTCCAGGTCTTATGGCACCATGAGTATACAGCTCATCCTATTGGCTAATGTTTTCTGATGCAAAATATTCCGGGTCTGATTTCGGCGTATTTACAACAGGCCTGTAGCGATTGGGTTCGCTGTTGAACGACTCGGCTATTTTTTCGAATAAGTGTAGCGATGAGGTTTCTTCGGAAAGCAGTTTATACAAACAGCTCATTTTGAGCGTTTAGTTTAAGTAAATTTCACCGGAGGTGTTTTTTAAACTGTCCATTATTTGAATGGTGTCGATTAATCATCCCTACATTTTAGTGTGATTTTACAAGCCTGAGCTTACAAGAAAATGGATAAAATGATGTTTTGACACTGTGGTGCCTTCCATGTAAGATCTCCTGTAGAAAAGGTTTTTAACAAGAAAGTTTACTATAGCTGTTTTTCTACGTATCTCCAGAGTATTTCACACTAGTGACTTCATACAGGGTCTCCCCTTTGTTCAGAAGAAACATTTCTCTACAGGACAGAAAAGAGAATATGCACGTTTCAAGGGTCGCATAGCAGCTCTGAACAATTCAAGGTATGAGTCGCAATTCAACCTATTGGCCGTTTTCAAATTCCTCAAATATGTTTCCAATGGCTTGTACCTCAAAGCTACCCTAATGCTTTTTCTAAATAAGTCCATGCTACAAAAATACCTTATCTAGATTGCTTTCATATTCTGTAATATCATCCCTCTCGTCGTCCAACATATGCACGCTTAAGTATAAGGGAGCTGTTTATCAAAATCGATTGTTTACCAACAAACAGTAGTCTGGGCACAAATGGATCTGGCATACAAACGAAAGATTATTAAAATCAGACTAAATTTCGTATTGAACCCTTATACAGCCTGCGGCTAGAGGTTCATCCAAAAGCTTGGGTGAAAGATACAGCATTGGCAAAATAGCTCTAGGGATTTCGGAACCAGCCACAAAAGCTACTTCTTTAAGGCAGCTTATTTCTGATGGGTTTAAGGCACTGGCTGATGATGTAAAGCTCTGCAAGTAGCTGCCAACAAATTTGATTGGTGTGTATAGTTAGATGCCAAAAAAAAGACCTTAAATGCTTTTACTGAAAACGAAACTCCAGTCACTGCACACAGTTTCTCGGAATGCACTTCTGAGTTGTAGAGTGGTATGCTAAGAAACTACATCTACATATGGTAACAAAATAATGATGCCATTTCATATTGTCATGCAATCAAGAGGCTTTTTGGTGATGTCTTTGACAAGTTCGCATCAAATTACGAATTATTCTTTATTAAGTTTGTCGAGAATCAGAACCACAATTTGGCTATTTTTTGTTTTCTAAAGCAGCTGTCAACTTGATTTTAGAGCTATAATAATTTCCACTGATGTGCACCTAATGCCCTATTATGCTTCACGACATCCCTATCGTTTTAAGTTGCCGTGCGCAAGCTGGTCACTTCACAAGGTATGATTAGAACCAGGTTTTCCTTACGTGCATCCTGTCACGCCTTTTAAAACTATTATCCTTCCTTCTATTTGTAGCAGTGAACAGGTCCGTAACTTCCTATGAAATGGATTTGCCCATCGAGGTCGTGATGATTTGATACTAGTTCTTTGCTCATTCCATAATCTGATAAGATTCTCTTTACTCAAACCGACTTGTCGTGCTTAACTATCATGCCTTCCACGTTGATACTTATTCTGCTTTACACGCAAAATTGAACATAAGACTGCTCGAGCACAATATATATGTTTTCTTTCTCCTGATTCAGACTAACTGAAGCCCTTTTGTTTTTTGAAGTAATTTGTCGTCCCCCAGTGCTGATTTTATGCGTCTCTGGTTGAATTTGACGTTCTTGCAGCCCACAGGAGCACCAGATAACCGATAGCGAATGTTGGACGAAGCTTATATTCATATCCGAATAGTGGAGGACTTACTTTTATAATCTATATCACTGATACTATTAGCATTGCTGTTATCTATATTATCAGAGTTTTTTACTTTCCACTCTCTTATTTACGAACTATTTTACGTACGTTAAGTTTGTTAAACATAGATGACAAATAATAGGGCTTTGGATTATCTGAATGCAGAAAGGTCCTCCAACCAAGTTATTAGTGAAAGGTCGTAAACTTCCTCATATTTTTGATGTGATAAACGTTCTCTTAAGTTAATGTATGTTACAAGGTGCGACCTTCCCATGGCCACGGGCTTCTTGAGAAGCATTTTTTTACAATTGTGCTGGCGCAGACATTTTCAGCCTTTTGACACAGGGGTTTGAACACTCTCGGAAAAAATTTGGCTTGCTTATGAGAGAGGCCACGAGACACCATAAGTGGGTCTGCTAGGTAGAATACTGGTTAGCAATTTCAGGCAATTTAATTTTGGACTAGAATTGAGGCCAAAACCTGTACCAGATATTATAAAATGTGGTCGGGTCTCGACCTCTGTGGGTCGGGTCTCGACCTCTCTGGGTCGGCTTGCAGAGTTTCACTGCCATGGGAGGATTTCGAGAGACTAAGTTTGGTCATGGTTCGGTATTTATCAGGTCTCTTCCAAGGAAACATCCAAATGGGGAATCTGGCCCTAATATACAACAACAATCGACTATCCACTGTATGTGTGCCAGTTATATGCTGAAAGACCAGAAATATTGGTTTATCTTGCGGAACTCCAGGACTCCCAGGACCACGATCACCATACAAGTGGCTTGAACACTCAACTATTCAGCTATGGTCGACTGATAAACAATAAGGATTTTCAAATCTCCCCATACTACTAGGAACGATGAAATATTTGAATAGGTTACCAACTGTTTGCTGGGAAATAAAAGCTCATCGATAGTCCATAAACTTCCTCAAATTACTTAGAAAGGGAGGTGTGGATGAGTTCTTTGGGGATTTGGTCACAATTCCGGCATGAGAAGGAAATTCAAGGCACCCAACTGGAGATTATGAGGTCAGTTGCAAGGGTCGTCCATCTAGTTAAATTACTGAGTATTTGCCACTAGTCAGCTAGGCTAAATATGTCGATGGACGATTAAAACAAGATTCTCACCTACTGAGTGATCTTAGTTAGGTATTCTCTCTTAAAATCTGTCGACCAGGTTTTGCCTGACGAAGAGCGTTCTAATTCTTAGTTGTCAATAATTCCAGAAAACATGTTCCAGCAACAAATCTACCGATTGTTTTCCAAACCTTTCCGAAAAGGAAGACTTCTTAGGCGGTTTCCAACATTGACCAACTTCCAGCAACAATCCTACCGATTGTTTCCAAACCTTTCCGAAAAGGAAGACTTCTTAGGCGGTTTCCAACATTGACCAACTGATCAAATGAATTCATATCCAACGTTCAAAAAGTCTCATAAGTCTGAAAGCCTGAAATCGATCTTGAAAAATAGTAAAATTTGTGCAAGGTTGAGGTCGTCATAACTGCCGTCTACTCGACCATCTAGACTGATTTGAAAAATGTAGTTGAAAATTGGAAGCGTTACCCCATTGGTGACAACCTCCTTTCCCAGCAGGTACGCCGGTGTTTTACAGAAGAACGTCCGTGTGCAAGTGAACTAACTGCTACTTGAACGTTAATTACCTAGGGAAGCAAGGGCTTGCCTGAAGCATATTGAGCATCAAGATGGGAGTAAGTCATGGCGGTAGGTCATGGTACACAAGTTACATTCACATTACTCCCGTCTGAACAGTCATCCTTCTGTCCTAGCTTAATTATTCTGGTCAGCTCACACCAAAAGGAAAGGAAACAGCAATGGAATCGAGCTTTTCTCTCATTAGAGATCATAAACAGTCCATACCCTCGGCCGTGCCACACATCCGACTCTCAAAGCGAGCACAATCCGGATGCACCCGAATTTTCACGTCTGAACAGGTGAGATGTGAATGTGAACATTATAAATCCCGCAACCACCTACAACAAACTATACGATATATTTGTCGCCGCCATCTAATGGTAGAGCACGATAAATATTTCTAACCTATAAGTCAAAGGCATACATAAATTAGAATGAAAGCTTTGAAGGAAAATGGGTAAATTATTTCAGCCATCTAATGACAACACACCAATCACATGCGTGTGTAATGTGGTGGTTCGCAACTTAATTCTAACTTTATTTATTGAAAATCTGGCAGTAATCAACTTTTGGTTTCTGATATGCCTGGGTAATATATCCACAAAACTGCTGCCTTGTTTTCGTTAAAAGCCGAAGTGACGACAAAAAGAGCGAAGTTTACTCAAAACCAGTGAATCTGAAAACTACAAAGCAAACTGAGACATGGGAAACCTCGAGTAGAAAGCAACTAACATGATTCAGACGTAATCTAGACGGCTGCATTTTTAGGCCTACATTTAGCGTGTGTGTTACTGCTGCTATAGCTTGTAGTTTCGTTTGTTTTTTAGGTATTAAAGACTGCGTAATAAAAAAGCTCTCAATGAGAACACTGCAGGTTTTGTATCACAGAGTTATTTACACAATGCACATGGGTTCAAATGCTGTTTGAAAACAATTCTCTATTGATGCAATGCGCTGTCCTGCTTGAGTGTGCGTTCGCCTTTATGGAATATACCTTACTCATCATCACGTGTTTGACTAAACCAGCTTTAAGGAATCTGCTAGCATTTTCACCTGACCGTATTGATTGTTTGTTCACAAGTCTAGACAGAACTATTTGAAAAACTACCATGAACACAATCCAGTGATTTAAGGCCATCAACATCAATTTTCCACTCACCGCAAAATATTTTCGTGATTACCAGTTAAGCTTGCTGACTGGTTCAGAAGATGTCAGTTAGATTATCATCATCACCTATTTGGGGATGCGCGAATTTATATCTCGTACCCAGGTATCTCTGTTTGCTTGTGAGTGGCCTTGAAGTGAAGCCTGAATTTGACGTTAGGCGCCTGTAGTGAGCACACGTATAGTGTGATTAGCTTACTCGATCCCATTGGTCGTCGCAGCATTTTTGAACGCCACACATGCTATAATTGCGCAATCAATAGGTGAAGTAATGTCATTAAAATGTGTAGGTATACACAGTTCAGAGAAGTTTAGAACAGTCAAATCTTGCTTTAAGACTTATTCAAAAGCAGTTCATCTACATTCTGAAAGCAAACTCAACTAATGAAAAGAACTATGGTATGCGGACTTTGGAGCTTTTTATATTTAAAGTCACATTTTAAACAAAAAAGAGGAAAAGTTGTGCCATCTATGGAAAGCAGTGATTTAGCAACGTTTCAGGCTAACTAGGGGGAATTCTGGGTCGAACGATTTAACCTCTCACTGCAAAGTACGGTATTTCCGAGTGTCAGGGCTAGATAACTAAAACTAAACTGAAACTAAACTAGGGGTGCTCTGCCATAATGTGATGGTCTCACGTCTGAAGGAACAAATTTGAACATACTGGGCTAAGCTACGAACAGCGGACAGGGCAAAATGAATACACATAATAGCCGGTGACGGATATGAGGGCTTGTTCAACAAGGATTCTCTAGACCTTGAAAAGCGAGAATATCTATTTGCTGATTAATTGGGTAGCCAAGTGCTTTTTATAAGGACGTTAGACTTTTACCTTGTTTCCTTCGCGGCATGACGTGCGACCACACAACTCAGGAAAATACGTTAGATTTCAGTGAGCTCATGACAAATCTTCCAAGCGGCAATCCGTAGACATCCATATCCAACAAATGAGTTCCCGTAATGCTAATACATTTTTCAACGTTATACGTTTTTATCACTCTATGTAAGCCAGATGGTCTCGCGTTGCTGATGTAGTTTTCAGCCATCTGCTTGCTGAACTTATTACTCCCTAATCCTACAAAACAACACTGATTCCAAACTATTTACTGTTTACTGAAAGTCTACTGTGATGATGGGGCGGTGATGTTACGGAATTGGCTAGGTGCTTCTACCGTCCTATCATGGGTAGACAGGATTGTATTACGGGATGGTACGCTTGACACAGTGGAACGTGAAGGCATGTGACTTGTTGTGGGGTCTACATCACAACGGTTATGGTAAGGATTTCCAGTCGCTTAAGAGTTTTCCTCAGATTACTGAATTTGATTTTAATGCACGGTTTTTCAAGCCAGTATTAAGGTCGCACACTCCTCGATATTTGCCCCTAAACACATCTATTTCGCCTTCAACCAAAGTATGTTACAGTGATAGTAGTTTGACTAAGAATAGTTCACGAAACTGTTTATTACAAAGATGCGGCGGTGAGATCTTTGTACGCTTTATTAACTGCTCACCAATAATTGGGTAGGATTCTAACAGCTGGAGTGGGCGACTCTTATCTTCCTCATATCCCATCTATCTCAGTGAGATCACGGGAGTAATTAACATCTGTAAGGGGATGTTACACGTAACCGGTCTTCAAAATATGATGCCAAATGCCGTCTATAATTGTTCGCTTAGATCGGTGGCCCAACATTTCGCGTCGAATTTCCTTCGACTACCGCTAATGTTCAGGCAAAACACGGGGCTCAATTTCAAGTAAATTCGCTCGTTCCTTTTAGACCAAAACCAATCCTGAAATGTGCCTACCATATGTGAAGCTGACTTAATCAGCCAACATAAGTTGAATGTGGATAAAACTGCAGTTACGAGGCCTCAACTAGGTCCTACAGAACTACCAAAGTTATGAAACCTCAGGTAAGTTGTCCCATTGGGCAGCTAATACCTATTTATGCAAGGGGATTGAGGTGCTGAAACTGTGAAGTGGGTGCAATTCGATCGGGATAGGACCACCAGTAAATATATCCTACGTTCTGTCAAATTGATTCGTGAGAGCACCGTCGCACTGAAGATTTCTTTCTCTTCCTGAATTAAACTATTCACTGGATTACTAAAAATTCTTTGACAGCCCGAGATTAGTTCCGCCTTTCCTAGGGCTCATCAGATAGGTTCGATTTTTGTTGACTTGAACATTGACTTGAAGTTGGCAAAGGGCACACGAATCTGGTTTTATAAATAATATCCTAAACCAGAGATTCAGTTGAAGTTTAGTTGAGCCTCCGGTTAAAACCAAATTAGTGTGCAAATGAGTGTACTTTGCGAGTTGTGTGAATTTTTTTAGACCTTCAGATACTTCAAATTATTGACCGGAACTGATGAGAAAAATGCTGATTTTGTTTATTTACACCCTTTGTTTCCATCCGATTGTGTAAAGCGATTCGGAGTTTAGGTTTGAGAAAGAATACAACTACTGTTTAGTTACGGAACATGCGTGGATCTGTAAACACAACAGTTGGCGTAACTTACCTAACAAAGAGTAGCATTACATGAGGAAGTGTTACCCATGCACGCTTAGAGTAAGAGTTCTGCGGCGGAAAGGGAGCCGGGGTGGGCAAACCGATCTCCCTCATATATAAAGATACGAATATTATATAAAGATATGTATAAAAATATGTGGCTACTCAGGATTAAGCATATGACCAACCTGGTTAAGACGAGGTACTTCAATCACTAGACAAGAGCTATTTCTAAAAAAATTTGGTCTTGCTGTTTTGCTGCAGAAGACAAAATGAATCCCTCAATAGGGATGGTATACAGTATACTGTATCGAAAACTCCGTCTGATCATATAATCATCCCAACTTTTTCTTCTGAGAACATAAACGCTAGTTCTTGACGACGTGGCAGCGTATTTCACGACTGCATGTGAAATCAGATGTCAACCGTCCTTGAGTTCCACGTCACCAATGTTTTTTTTCATTTTGCCTAAAGGCAGTATGCACATCAGCCCTAAAAAATTTATAACGTTTGTCAGTGCATTGTTTCACAATTTGTTTTTCATTTACGAAGCCTAACTTAGGTTTCATCTGGTATCAAACGACGATAATCAAACCAAATTGTTAGCAGCTCAACATTTTTACCTCAACCAGGGATTCACTCTTTGCTTCAGGTTCAAATCGTCGTGTTTTCACGAAAGAAAGCTATGTACAAGCGCTGTACTCTTCCTCTAGCTGATGAGGTAAGGTGGTGACAGATTGTTATTTTAATTGAGTCCTTCCAAGTCTGCTTTCACCAAATACCAGTCTAAGTTTATAGAAAAACCTATGCATTACTATACAGTCAGTAGAAATGTCTTCGCACGCACGTCTTGGTGTTATCCTACCAACCGAACCGTGTGTTTTTAAGTAAAAGTGTAAAGACTTTACCTGACACGAGTAACGGTGTGAAGCAAAAGCACGTGAACAAAGATGACGATTTTCGTTGTTAAACTTATAACTGCAGCAGCTGGATTTCCAAAATTCTAATCGAGACTAGTCACACTAGGGAGGGAAGTGTGATTAATTGATCTAGACAGATTTCATCACTACGTAAGACCTGCGTTAGCCTGTACCATATATTCTAGTGTGAGCTTGGATGCGTAAAATTATTAGTCAATTCGGTCCCCAATCATAGTATTAGGTGCATGCGTAAACATACAAGCACCTGTCTTACATGAACGAGATTATGATAAACGAGAGATTCAGCTGAACTTAGGTGAGTCACTTGTCAAAACCAGGTTCGTGAGGAAATGAGAGTATTTTTTGAAAACCGTCCAATTTGAGTTCAAGTAGATCAGGAGGTTGATGGAAACTCGGAGACTGCGCCCACATGCTTGGCCCCAATAGGGACAAAACCGATCGTAGGTTGTCGAAGAGTTTTCAGCAACGTTGTGAGTAGTTTCCTTTACTAAAGATAAATATCTTTTGGACCCTGTGAATGGAGTTATCCTCGTATGCATAAACTACTATTCGCCGATTGGCTCAGTCCATTCATTCGATTCAGTATTCAACATTATTTCTTGATCTTATCTTCGAGTCCAGAAGTCAATTTTTCCTGTAAAGCAGTTGGATTACGGTGTACATAGATCCCCTTGGGTTTACTGTGCGATTGATGCATTCAGTTGTTTGGTTATGATGCTGCGATATTGGGATAGCAAATGTTTTGCGATGCCTTCGATGAAATCTCCTGGATATCCATTGATTCGAAGGGTCTGATGCAACAAAACGAGCTGAGATGAGGCATTGTTTTTCTCCAGAACTCCCTGATTCATTGGGAAGGGCATTACAAGTGTTTCGTCCAACAACTTCTATTCCAAAGTAAACGATGTTGCTACTTTTTACCAGACGTATTTTGAACAACTCCCTCCGATGCTAACAGTGAGACTAGTCGTAGAATACAACTTAACGGTTCATAAAATTTTACCGAAATTTCGTCTCCGATTTGGTTCTTTTCAAACATCTTTCTGTGATTTCCGAGATACGTTTTCACTATTAAGAAGTGTCTTTGGGAAGAAAGGGATGAAGTGACTGAAAGCCTCGCCTGAAATTGGTTGAGCTTCTGGAACTTCGGTCCATGTTAAGTTTTGACATTCAGTTAATGCTAAGGATATTGGTATCCCAGAAAAAAACATTTAACTGTTGAATTCTTGCCAAGTCATTTTCCGAAAATTTGAGCTTTGATCTTTTGCGCCGGTTTACGCCATCATGGACATTCTACCAAAATACTGCCCTTTTCTCCCATTGATAAGTTGCAGTTTATATGAACTAACGCATTTATGGTTCACCGGGGTCATCGAAAATGTTGTACATGGTGGACTTTCCTCCTGCTGTACCTTGCTTTTAGTTTAAATAGTAAAAGATATCCTCCGACAGTACGGCCTTCTTCTTCCTGCACTAGGAGAGGTGGGCTCACATCGAAGCTGAGAATTTTGCGCTTGTCGTGTATAGCAGGCGATCGTGCCTGTTCAGGCGGCAACAGTTCGCAGCGCACGACCATATCACTTG